ATAATAATAATATTTATAATGCGCAAATTTCATAAAATGTTCAAATGCGCGTGACAAGATTAAAAACGAAATAAAAAGGCTAAAAAGCTAAAATTACCATTAAAAGTAAACTTACAAAGATTTTAAAAAGCTAAAATTACAATTAATAGTAAACTTATAATGATAAAAACAACTATGATAAAAATGCATGACGGAAAAGGTGAGTTCTTAGCTTGGCATTAAAAATACTAACAGTGCTGGCGCTTCTTATATCAAATGGTAGCGCATTCCAAAGTCTCGCTGCAGCACAGGTAAAAGAACGGTCAACTAGTGTAGCTTTTGATTTAAAGCGCGGATAACTAAGTAAAAGTTTGAATGAAACAAAATGAAAATTAACTGATTGCAAAGTGAGAAAAATGCAAGTTATATCTCTTGGCAAGAAACAAGTTGAGATAAAGAGCCCTTCATGTCGCGCGTAACATGCAAAAACTATTTTTTTCGTCAACTCAAATGACATTTCAAAAGAATATGTTAATCAAGAGGCCGAAAACAAAAGCTAGGAAAGTACTCGTGGTTGCAATACTCAATTAATTGAAGTAGATCACTCCGAGTAACGTAAATACAGCTGTCAGAGATTGAAGACCGCTAATGTATTCATAATAAGTTGAGGTATCTCAGTTAAAATACATTTCACCAAGCTCGTAACAAGAAAAAACATTTATAACATTTTCTATTTCTTCTACTGATTTGTATCAGCAGGTTTCATCCTATCATATAACATAACTTCTTTCATTTTGTATTTACAAATTCACAGGTAAAAAGAAACAAAAAGCTGGTTTTGAAAATAACCATTTAAAACTGACTTTCAGCTGGCTACTAAATCAACTAAACAGGTACAAAAACCAAAATCCACCATGACTTTTTTTCAAACTTTCTTCTTCACTTTGCTCTGGGTTACCACGCTTGCTTGTGTTCTGAGTTACTCATTATAGGTACTGATTAGCGACTGCGTAAATGATTTATTTATTTGATTTATTTATTTGATTCATTTATATTTTGCTATATCTGGACTACGAGTAGTCCCTCTTTCACTTAGTTCGTCGTGCGTGACGCGAAAGAAAACCGCGAGAAAAAATTGGCCGCGCAAAATGCTGAAGGAGAGAAGCGCGAGAAAAGAGCGGCCGCTTTTCGCTCCCCGGATTTTGCGCGGCCATTTTTCTCCTCGCACCTTATTACGGTATCGCTCGACGGACTAAGCGAGAGGAACTACTCGTCGTCTACACTATCACATTATTTTCGCTTGAGTGCCAACAGTTGGCTCTCAATAAACCGTTATGGTAATTGAATTGTTGCTCTCTGAACTCGTTTTAGTTCTGCTTTTATACACTGTCGTGATTTAAGTCATCCATATTCATTGTCGGACCCAGACTCTAGGCCGGTGTCTTCAGCCGGGAGGTACGAGTACGAGTAGGAGTCTCCCACTCTCAGTACATCCGGGAAATCCGAGGTGCTGAAAAAATAAAACAAAAATAAAACAAAACAAGAGAGAAAACATGTCAGTTATTATCGGCAGTGAATATAACAGTGAAACGATGGACCGACGCGAAATATCGAGGCCTAAAAACTAGGCAACGTTAGCTCGGGGTTAAAAACGAGAATAAAGCATTGAAACCTTGTGTTTCTGCTGAGCCTACTCCATGCGAAACTGATCAAGCATTGATCACAAATAAGATTTGGCTGACCGCTTCCCGAAGTGGTTTTCAGGGAGGTCCTTAAATAAATCATTAAACCAGTAACACAAGACGGAAAAACAAAGCTGAGAACTACAAGGGTGAGGCAAGACATGTCCAGTACACCCTTGAAAAATCACGGTGGATTTCGAAGCCTGGAAACATATCCTTCGATTTTCCGTTGATATCATATCATTTATGTCCTTAAATCATCAATAAAATCATCAAGGAAATGATAATTCGCCCATAACAAAACGCAAAGTTGGTCCTCCCAGGCTCAGGTCAAACGTCGAACTTCACCTGAGAGTGATAAGACGAGCTAAATTGCAATTTGAGTCGATCCAAACGGGTAAAGCTCGACCGCTGGGTTAAACGTCGAACTTGTTTAAAATTTAGACCGATCAATAAGCTCCATCGGTCTGAATTGACCAATTTCGATATATTAAAATTCAGTACGAGGCTCTGGGGAATAGCTAGAGAGTTTGTGGGGTTTATTCCCCACAGCCTCGTGTTGAGGTCTATTGTGTTAGGCTGAATTTTAATATATCGAAATTGGTCTATTCAGTCGGACGAGCTCAGTTGAGCAAAAACGTCACACTTAATATCATGAACTTAATTCGCGCAGTTCAGTTCGTCTCATGTGAAGTTCGACGTTTGACCTAGGCCTAACACAAAAGACGTCTGTTAGTTTTGAATACGTCGTTCAAATGGGCGAACACTCAACGTATTGACCTTGCAGGACTTAGAAGAATTAGCCGAAAAGCAGTAATAACGCTCACCTTCTGAAGAAATCCTTTAGAAAAGTCCAGTACACCATAGGCCCGAACATAGTATAATATAAAATCATGGTGAAATCCAAAATACTGCAGTGAAAACGTAAATACAAAACATTGAGACTGATAAACTGAACTGTCGAAGTTACTCATAAAATCTACCAGTATAATCTGCTTTCGCTGTTACGGACTTTTGCACAATTTATTCGCCAAATATTTGGTACAAATGTAGCTGTTTTCTATCCAGTATCCTTGAAGCGGACACCTAGAACTCGCCTACACGGATCCTTACTGTTTCGGGCCTTGACTGTGAAGGGCCCTCACTCAAACAGACCCTCACTATTAAAAGCCCTTATTATGAGAGCACCCTGTCTACAAGGGACAAAATATCAACATGGTTCCCACGGGTGGGAACAAGAGGGTTGACTGTAGTGTCAGTACTATATAAGGATAGAAAACACTGAGTGAATAAGACCTGAATCTAAAGCTTGTATTAAGTCTTCTACCTACCACAAACTTTGCGTGATACTTTCATACAACAGAAGACTCATGCAGCCCTGCAGTAGGTGCACGACACATAACACAACGCAGTACACGTAAAATGACTTCCTTTCTGAAAAAAAGAAAATGCTCACGTTTAATAAAAAGGAAATCTTAGAAAATAAGCTTAATGACATGTTGAAACGTTCGCCATAATTGCATAGTATTATCTGATACAAAAGAGTGAGATAGTCATGCGTGTAAAATTAAGCTCTAAGAAAGATTTACAATCCAAGTGTTTTTAGTCCTTTCTGCTTACTAGGGCGTATTTTTCATTTCTTAATACCTTACATCAGACTGACTCACTAATTTGGAGAAATATCATCTTGGAAAATTAAATTGCGATCACTGTAATCGCGACATTGTATTATTAAAAGTCTGTAGGCTTAAAATGTCACTGATATAGTATAGTCAAATATCTTCGGGTCTTCTTCGGAAATCGTTCGACGTCCCCGATAAACTTCTTTATAGTCGACTCTACCTGCTGAATACAACTCAAAATCCGCTGGAGCAGCTTACCAGGTATGATACAGCGTTCTCTTAACTTGGTACATGGCAAGATGACAATGACGAAATAAACCTGCAAAACATTGACAATATTGTACAGGTAAATTCACAAGCTCCTCAACAGGGCAAGTCCGCCTTCCAGTCTCTTCTCTATCTATTTTCTGATATTAGAAAATGTTAGTCTTAGGGTCATTAGTATGGCAAATGTTCATGCTTTTATCATCAAATGGAACAATTCAATGTTTTTGCGTCAATAACCACGACAGCTGGACTATTTCTCGTTTCTCACTTGATCGAAGCCTCCTCTTGGAAAGGTGTGGTGCGTTCGCGGACGCGCCTTGGCCGCGCCTAATCTTTCTTGCACCCAGATCTCCGCGTCCGATTTATTTTACAACTGGCGGAAACCAAGGTACATTTCAGGCATAAAATGGTACCCAATGAATTATGTACATCTGAAGACAGTCTGTGCTATCAGGATGAGGAAAAAAGGGTAAAAACGTCCACATATATGGAAGAACAGTTGTACTGTATATATTGGAAATTTTGGAAAAAAAAAAAAAACTTTTAAACTTCAAGGTACTTTACCGGAACCAATTGACTTGACTGTAGTTTCTTTTCATGATAGCTACATTGTAGATTGCACAGTGCTGAAAGCGTTACCAAAAATGTTTCAGAAATCTTGAAGACTTCATGGACACTCCAATGCCAGACAGGGAGCCCTGGGCATTTACACGAAACGATATAGAGACTTAAAGACTTGCATGCAGCAGCCATGTGTAAGCTAAATTATATGATGTCTGTAATTATAGTGTAGGTCTTTCTTACCAAAGCCAAAAACAGTGATGTAGATGCCATAAACNAAATTCACAAGCTCCTCAACAGGGCAAGTCCACCTTCCAGTCTCTTCTCCATCTATTTTCTCATATTAGAAAATGTTAGTCTTAGGGTCATTAATTTAGTGTGGCAAATGTTCATGCTTTTATCACCAAATGGAACAATTCAGTGTTTTTGCGTCAATAACCACAAAAGCTATTTCTCGTTTCTCACTCGATTGAAGCCTCTACTTGGGAAGGTGCGGTGCGTTCGCGAACGCGACTTGGCCGCGCCTAATCTTTCTTGCACCCAGATCTCCGCGTCCGATTTATTTTATAACTGGCGGAAACCAAGGTAAATTTCAGGCATAAAATGGTGCCCAATGAATTATGTACATCTGAAGACAATCTGTGCTATCAGGATGAGGAAAAAAGGGTAAAAACGTCCACATATACGGAAGAACAGTTGTACTGTATATTGGAAATTTTGAAGAAAAAAAAAACTTTTAAACTTCAAGGTACTTTACCGGAACCAATTGACTTGACTGTAGTTTCTTTTCGTGATAGCTACATTGTAGATTGCACAGTGCTGAAAGCGTTACCAAAAATGTTTTAGAAATCTTGAAGACTTCATGGACACACCAATGCCAGACAGGGAGCCCTGGGCATTTACACGAAACGATATAGAGACTTCAAGACTTGCATGCAGCAGCCATGTGTAAGCTAAATTATATGATGTCTGTAATTATAGGATAGGTCTTTCTTACCAAAGCCAAAAACAGTGATGTAGATGCCATAAACAGCAATCCGCCATGTCCATATAAATCATACTTTGTTTTACCATAAATTTTGCCATTTATTCCAGGACATCTGATAAACTCAAGAGTTGCCTGAAGAAAGGGAGGCAACAACAAGACAGTCAATTTGCAGCAAGAAGCTGAATGACAACTCAGTGAGTCCGTGAGGTTTAGTGCTTGCATATGGAAACAGTTACATGAACCCAAACAGTTAGCTATGCTTCTTTTCTGTTCTTTAAGCATCAGATACTGATGCTTTGGTTACTGAAAACTAGATTACATTATGATGATGATGATGATGATGATGATGAAGATAACGTAGATGATAATGATGATGTGAAATGTAAATGTAAATCTCATTGATAGTGGACGTGCACTTAGCTATACAAGCACTAAGCTTGGCTAGTTTACAGGTATGCCACTAAAAGAAAGGAAACAAATATTTTTACATCAACGTAACATGATGACCATGATGATGATGAGGAGGAGGAAGATGATGACAAGGAGGATGAGAAGGACTAGGGAGGGCAAGGGGGAGGAGGAGAGAAAGGAATGGAAACAAATTGATGGTAATGAAGTTGACAAATTATGACGATGGACAATATTGCTGACGTCAAGGAAGATATTACTGCAGACAAAAATCAACAAACCTGTGCTGACGAATATGCTATAGCAAATAATGATGATACACACAAGACTCTTTGAACACCTTTCCTCCCATCTTGCATGTTACCTTCAAGCAAAATAAATTATTGTACATTATTTTACATTATTGTACATTATAGTACATTAGAAAACCTGTTGCTAATGTGTAATGTCTTTTGTTCACTGTCTTGTCAATGACTTGATGATTAACGGGATAAGTACTTCCACTTGTAGAAAAAAAAAAACGACTATGTGATCAGTCCCAAGAATTCATACCTGCCCAAACACCAAATATTATCACACTTAATTCCACAGCTAACAAGAAGCAACACAACAGAAGCCATAAAATCTGGAAAACATTAAAAAAAAAGTAATGGCAAAAAATTCATTTAATACAATAAATAGTTCAATGAACTTTTAAAAAATAGATAGGCCATAAATTTACTCTGGGTGCCAGAGGTTTTATTTCTCTTTCTTGTGAGGAGTGGTGAACCCCTTATCTATAAACATGACGAACACAGCTTTGCCATTCACAGATACTGGCTAAATTATCACCACTATAAAAAGAACAAAAATTTCTGGGACCCAGCCGATACCAGAAATTGCAGTAGCAAAAAAAAACCTGGAAATGTATATTGTACACGTAACAAAGAATAAAATGTTTTAATGATTCTTCCAAAAAATGTGTCGCATAATTTTAGCCAAATTTCAAGGGTCTTGTCCCAATTTTTCATGATGCCCAGGCTCACAGAAAGGATATTAGTTTTGCCTTGCCACCTTGCAGAGTTCCTCGTTTACTATACAATGTTTAGTGTTTGTGTGATTGTGTGTAAGTATTACTATTAAAGGAAAATTATTTTCACACGTACCTTTGTTAGCAGAGAATCCTTATGGGGTTCATTTAAGATGGATGTCAAAAGCATGGAAACAAAACATCTTATTATGCCGACAATGCAAACAAAGAATACCTAGTAGAATAAAAACAAACAAATCTAATCTCAATTAAGTTGCACTCTATTATTTAAACAGAAATTAAAGTTAGTTGCTGGTCCCAAGATTTATGAGGAAAGCTCACAGACCTGTATGTGCTATTAGTAAATTATTTTGTATACCTCACTCATACCAGACTTCCAAGTGCCAGTGGCTTGATAGAAAATTTAGCCCTGTGATAGTCGCCAGTGTCCGCATGATATCAATACAGCTGAGTGCCAGGAAATTAAATACAATCCTATATCTCAGTGGGGAGCTGGCAGAGGTGCAAAAGTAAATTGATGGTCTAGGAAAATGTCTATACCCCGCTCACAGAAAGCTTCTATTTTAACCCGTCCCCATCCCATCCCATTTCTCTGGAAGTTCTGGTCTAGCTTACATGTAATTCACTTTTCCCTTTTAAACTATTGGTATGGACATGAATTTTTTAGAACCACTCATTATTATGCACTTGAAAAAGAAAAAAAAAATAGATTTAACTCAGTTTCTTTATGGAAACTCCTGCACCATTCNAGACTCTTTGAACACCTTTCCTCCCATCTTGCATGTTACCTTCAAGCAAAATAAATTATTGTACATTATTGTACATTATTGTACATTATAGTACATTAGAAAACCTGTTACTGGTGTGTAACTTCTTTTGTTCACTGTCTTGTCAATGATTTGATGATTAACGGGATAAGTACTTCGATTTGTAGAGAAAAAAACTTGACTATGTGATCAGTGCCAAGAATTCATACCTGCCCAAATGCCAAATATTATGACACTTAATTCCACAGCTAACAGGAAGCAACACAACAGAAGCCATAAAATCTGGAAAACATTTAAAAAAAGTAATGACAGAAAATTCATTTAATACAATAAATAGTTCAATGAACTTTTAAAAAATAGATAGGTCATAAATTTACTCTGGGTGCCAGAGGTTTTATTTCTCTTTCTTGTGAGGAGCAATGAACCCCTTATCTGTAAACATGACGAACACAGCTTTGCCACTCACAGATACTGGCTAAATTATCACCACTATAAAAAGAACAAAAATTCCTGGGACCCAGCCGATACCAGAAATTGCAGTAGCAGAAAAAAACAAAAAACCTGGAAATGTATATTGTACACGTAACAAAGAATAAAATGATTTAGTGATTCTTCAAAAAAATGTGTCGCATAATTTTTAGCCAAATTTCAAGGGTCTTGTCTCAATTTTTCATGATACCCAGGCTCACAGAAAGGATATCAGTTTTGCCTTGCCACCTTGCAGAGTTCCTCATTTACTGTACAATGTTTAGTGTTTGTGTGATTGTGTGCAAATATTACTATTAAAGGAAAATTATTGTCATACACACCTTTGTTAGCAGAGAATCCTTATGGGGTTCAATTAAGATGGATGTCAAAAGCATGGAAACAAAACATCTTATTATGCTGACAATGCAAACAAAGAATACCTAGTAGAATAAAAACAAACAAATGTGATCTTAATAGTTGCACTCTATTATTTAAACAGAAATTAAAGTTGGTTGCTGGTCCCAAGATTTATGAGGAAAGCCCACAGACCTGTATGTGCTATTGGTAAATTATTTTGTACACCTCACTCATACCAGACCTCCAAGTGCCAGTGGCTTGATAGAAAATTTAGCCATGTGATAGTCCCCAGTGTCCGCATGATATCAATACAGCTGAGTGCCAGGAAATTAAATACAATCCTACATCTCAGTGGGGAGCTGGCAGAGGTGCAAAAGTAAATTGATGGTCTAGGAAAATGTCTATACCCCGCTCACAGAAAGCTTCTATTTTAACCCGTCCCCATCCCATCCCATTTCTCTGGAAGTTCTGGTCTAGCTTACATGTAATTCACTTTTCCCTTTTAAACTATTGGTATGGACATGAATTTTTTAGAACCACTCATTATTATGCACTTGAAAAAGAAAAAAAAAATAGATTTAACTCAGTTTCTTTATGGAAACTCCTGCACCATTCCGTTAAAAATCACTCAAGGGATTATCAGTCATAAAGACATACAGATATACAAGGTATATGTGCCAACTTTTTCTGGAGTGTATTAACCAACTAGTCAGTTCTAAATATCCAAACTATTTAGTTTCAACCCAGCCTTCAAAACATTTTACCTACCATGAAATAAACAGTCTTTACAATAGGACATCTTATTTCATAAAGTTGCACATGAGCCACTCCAAGTCTGTACATAAGGAACATCAGGAAGAGGACATTTGGTACAAGGAGAAGAACGTCAAAAATCCTGATGGCACTGTACACAATGGAAGCAAAATATTAGGTGAATCTTAAGTGTACAATCTCAATGAAGAGCAGAACAAATTAGTTTTCTTGTTGTGTTGGTCTCACTTTTTTATCTCTCTAGGGTAGAGCAGGGAAGACTCACCCTTTCAATATAAAGGTTTTCCTTGTTTGACTATATGTAGAAAGATAAGAATCTTGCCAACAGGCTGGTTTACTCCAAAGGTGTAACATGTGACCACATAATCATACCCATTGAACCCTCTCCCAAGGTGGTTGGGTGCGAGTGTGTGGACGGGGGTGGGGTGGTAGCAGGAGACTGCATTGACAACTCTATGCGCTTGATGTGTGCTTGATTTTGCGAGGATGTCTGTTCATAGACTTTTTAGCTTTGTACAAGCTTAACAAATTTTTTTTCTCTCGCCCGTTTAGACTTTTCCCCACCCCCACTAACTGCCCCTGGGTCTCCGAGGATGAAACACTGCAGTGCCTGAAGATAATACCAGTGTTCTAGTATGTTATATAACTCTATAAGATCTCCAACAGTGTAGTTATTGTAACCCTCCCCTCCTACCCCTCAGTACCGTTCAGGCACCCCCAAAAAATAATACCATAACAGTTCTCGATCTTTCCTTTGAAAGTGAGCCCACTCTCGAACTTCCTGTCGTTAACTTTCAACCAATTAAATTCTCAGGACAATCTTTCTTCAGAGCATGGGAATTAATATGACATGTATCGAAGTCGTGTTCTATTGGTTTGTTTGCGGTCAATATTTTGTCTGGAACCCAGTAAGCGTACACTGGGGTTTAATTTTTTGCTGATCTTCCTAGCAACGACGAAGGACTCTACACTGCTTGCAGGGTTCGATCAAGAGGCAGTTTACATGTGTCTCAGTAAAACCCTCAACATATCTAGACTGCTTACCTATCGTGGACCGTCCCATATAAAATACTTTGGCAGACACTAAGAACTATATGGTCCGCGGGAACAGTCGTCGTTGAAAAATCAGGAGGTAGCTGACTGGAAGATGGTTTAGACATCATTTCCATTATCCTCGATTTTGTTGATTTTGTTGATTTTGGAAATCCTGCCAGTGTTTACTCGCGGCCACTCACAAGCTTACGGTTCGTTAAAATACGCTAAGATGGTGTCATGCAACCATACCAGATTACTCGGATCTCTCGGAAACATTTCGCTTTTGATTTGCTTTAAGCCATCCTTCCAATTAGTAATCTAAGGAACATCATTTACCAAGAAATCGAAGTCGAAAGTGCTCGGATCGACAGTTCTCGAATTGCCGGGTCATGTTTTTATCGCGTGACTCGTTCCAAGCTACCACTGTTGGGTTGGCAATTTTTGCCGGCGTGGATCCTGGAAACCAGATTTTATATTAAGATTCCGCATACTCGGTTTTTGTGGAATTTTCGGCTCAGACATTGTATTGTATCACTACGTCAATTGTATAATAGGAAGTACTTGAAATCATAGTGCCACTTACTTGCTCTTTAGAACCACAATTTCCGCGAAATCGACATAGCTTCGTTCAGCTTTTCTTTTAACAAAACCAAAAGTGGTGTCTCCTCCTCAGTCAAACACTGTAATTTTACCTCCGATTTTTCGAACCAATTCTCGTTTCCCTTGGAGGTTCGAAAAATCGGGATTCCACTGTGCTGTCGACGTCATTTCCCAGTGGGTACCAGCTTACTCCTGAACAAACAAAATTAAAGCAATTTTCCTTTATAGTTACGGCGTCACCAACGTGAGTGATTTAGGTGATTCTTCGAGAGTGCCGCGGGCTGTCCAAACTGAAAGGCTCCTGCCCGATATCCTGGGCAAAACATAAGAAAGGTCAAAACTAATAAGATTATAACGCGATCTTTGTTGGAAGGCGATCAAGTTTGTAGCGTTTTTTAAATCTTTCTGAACTCTGAAAATATTTCAGACTTCTCTCAGCCGTGAGCAACACTGTTTACTTCTAATCACTGCCTGCGAGCAGGCTCACCTTTGAGTCACACGCGCGAGCGCCGAAGAGCAAAGCGATCCGGTGGGAAGGAGTCAGGTGAAGAGGTGCCATTTCGTCTGGCGGCTTCGCCGCTCAATTTCGCGCTCGCAGCTACGCCGCGCGCGCTTGTGCTCCAACGTGAGCCTACTCGCAGGCTATTTTAATCACGGCTATAGTGCCGAACTACGACAGTTATTGCTTTCCGCTAACGGTAACAAAACTTAATTATAACTAGCTTGTTTTAAAGAACGCGATCTTTAAAAGTCGAAAAAGGTTGGAACGGAAAAAGACTGGAACAGCCGAAGATGTGGCCGAGATCTCTCGTCTGTAGTCTTTCCTGAACGTGTATTGATAGATACCGAAAGGCAAACCTATCTTGAGAAGTTTTTCCAAGAGTAAGTGGTAGTTTCTGAAAAGCTACAAAAATTTGACTATTTGAAATTTACTTTGCGGGTAAAACAATTTCCACTGAACTACCCAAAGTCCACTTGTATGTGCCGATTTACATGTTCCTGTCATGTTTTTGTCAAAACAGGAAGCGCCTGGTCCTCCTGTCACATCCTTACGTTTCTAAGAATATGGAACAAAATAGTAAACTGAACTGCCAGTCCCACCTTTAGCCCAAACTTCCCGTATAAAAAGACGTAGGTGCTCGTCGGAAATTTTGAAAAGAAACCCTAAGAGGTACCAAGATCCTGTTTTGTGGGCGCGGTTTGACATTTTTTTTCTTACATTGCACAGTATCCCCGTCATATTTTTTCCTAAAAGGTCCGACGAGCACCCCCTCATTTTTATTTCGGAGCCCCCCTCCGGAATTTCAGCCTAAGAAACGACGCATTTGGACACCTTCAGATAGCTTTTGAGGTCTTTTCCCACTAAATCTTTGCAATAGATAAGGATCCTGTTTACGAGAACGTTTTGCGATGCAGGCGCGAATCTGTAAAATGAGAGGTGCTGATACTCGATTTGACGTCTAACACGTTGTCAATTTTGGGTTTTTTGAAGCGTGCAACATTGCAGCTGCAACATACACGTTTGTCAATATATAATTATTCACCGTATTTTCAGATTTTTATGACGTCAGAAGCTGTGCGCATTACACAAATATCGCCACCTTACAACAAAAGGTCAACAGGAAACCATTGTTTATAACACGTCTCAGCTTTAGCGACAGTTTAGTTCGCGTTAGTAATTTAATTATGGAGGAAAGTTGTTCGTGAAAGTTGTGCTGTTTTGTCGGTGAGTATTTTAAAGGATTTTGAAATTTACCTTTCTTAAAATGTGGCTTTAGTATAACGTTTGTACGCAACAAGATACCCCCCTGTGTAAACAGACCTGGTGAAACATGGTCAACTAGGTTTCGATGTACGAAAACTTTGGGGTGAGGCAGACAAAATTCAATCGGAAAGCTAACGATTTATTCAGGGCTATTTTTTTGTATATTTACGGCAAAACTGTATGATAGAACCGTGTTGCATGGTTGAAATACTACAGACCTTTTAAAATGTATTTCTGCAGATCTGAAACTCGAATTCAGACAATGGTGTGTATCACTTGAAGTGCTATTTAACCAAGTTATCTGGTCCGTTCAATCTGTTGCTTCCATGCCTCTCTTTCATAAAGTTTCCATTATCAAATTTACCCAAAATGAAAATTTGCCATTAATCTGTTTTCGTGGTTTAAAAGGAAAATCTGTGGTCACTATATCGATGACCATCTGTTTACGAATTATTAACAGAGTATCCGTCAAAGAAATATTAAACTTGCAATTTAGAAATACGTGTTCCTATTACATAATAAATTACACGTACGAGCTGAAAGAAATAAATCACCCACCCCCCTCCTACCCCGCCGGCCTAATTGATACCCTTCTACAGATAAACATTAAAAGTTTGAAGAACTAATGTAGTTTAATGTCAGAACAAAAGCTTGAAATGTTTGTTTGTGTTGGTAACAAAAAGTAAATCAACAACGGTTGTGTAATAACATGGTTCTCTGACACTTCTGACGTAAAATGGTAAGAATACACAATTTCCGGGACGATCTCAACATTCCTCAGCAACTAAACAGGAGAGAGAGAGAGAGAGAGAGAGAGAGAGAGAGGACCCGCTCTAATCTGGTTAGCCAACGCAAACCTTGTTCTCTTTTTTAGGGTCCACAGGTTTTGTTCAATGATGGAAAATTATTCACCAGCGTTATGTAGAATTATTTATCTGCTGCTGTTGCTTATTGTCACACAACGCGTCGAGAATACAAGTATTGGGGGATATATCACTGTCGACACCACTCTATCACTGAACGGGTCAGCTTATGTTGTATATCAAGACCTTGTTATAGCTGGGAACGCCACTTTAACTATAGAACCAGGAGTTCAGTTGCACTTTAAAGCTGGAGTTGCTTTACAAGTTAAAGGCTCTCTGCAAGCAAACGGAAACTCGAATGGCAGAATCGTCTTCAGCAAAATACCAACAAACAGTTCAGTAAATGTGGACGAATTGAACGTTACGGCGCCTTATAATAATGGAAGTCGCCTTGTTGGCGGGAAAAATTATCGAGTTGGTCGCCTCGAGATTTTTCTAAGAGGTCAATGGGGAACTGTGTGTCATGACTCGTTTGATATCAACGATGCTCGGGTAAGTTGAATGCGTGATTCGTATGTAATTTCTCCTTACACCATCGATACAATGACTAGCATGTAGGTTAGGAGAAAAAGATAATTGAACATTGTGCTATGCAACAGTTATGGACATCTTAAAGTGTAGTCCTTTAGTAGCTCCTGAGAAAACTAAATTTAGGCAAACAATACTAATACGTATACAAGGGAAATATCAAATGCAAAGATGCTCACGTTGGTAACAAAGTCTACAAGACCCACCGTGCTGCGGGAAATGTTTTGCGGGAGTTTAATTTTGCCGATCGGTAATTTTCTGTATTCTGCGGAAAATAATTTTTACGATTGTGAAAGACTGGGTTTTCGAGCTGGGTATCAATTTCAGAAAGTCGCGTTTATTTGAAATACAACATTTTCGGCGGTTTTTTAATATTACGCTACACGGTAATCAGTCACTCCATTACAATTTCGTTTTGCCCTTTCTGTAAACTTTGAGCAGCAAATGTCTTCAACAAGATTCTACATCTGGGGTCTGTCTGTGGAATAACTTTTTTGCGGAGAAAATTTTTGCGGGAACTTCATGTGGGCAAGAACTTTTTTTTTTGTTTTTTGCAAAAATCGCAAAAATTTCGTGCAATACGTAAGCGACACTGGGGCACAAAAAGGACAGATCTACAAAGATTTATATTTGAAGTCTACATGGAATAAGTTGTTAGTCGGACTGATGTATTGTGTAACATAACTAAATAGCTGTGGTCTACCGAACTGCCTTACTTTATAATCCATTCTGCCTACTACATCTATAACATGAACATAGCAGCGACTAGGGTTTATTTCATAGCAGCAATTCATTGCCCACATACCGAAATCGAGGAGGAGGAGGTGAAAGTAACAGCACGTTTAGGGATAGGGGGAGAGGGTGGTGGTTAGGTGCAAAAGGCTTTTGTACATTATGCTAGCATTTTTTCGAGCATTTTAGTGAAGCAAAAGCATTAACCATTATTCGAGCATTTTAGTAGCATTTTCCCGGAAAATTAATATTTTTTTCCACAGAAAATAGGAATGAAAATGATTTTATTTATGAGAAAATGAAGACTAAACCTAGCCTCTTCACTTAAGTATCACTGAAAGGGGAGAAAGGATTAACAGAACAACAGATCATTTAGAGAATTATCCTTTGGTTTATTAAAACCATAGATCGTTGTCACGCAACATCATCAAATTCCAAAATCCAAAACTAAAGAGCCACGAAAATTTTAATCCTCATAAGACATAAGGGGATCTAAACTTATTTCTGTTTACAACTTTTCAGCTCAATAGCGTGCTTGGTTTGGAAACCAGCACCGTTTGAAGTTCAGAGTTATGGCGGCGCGTGAAATACCGCTCCGATCGCGTTTGTGGAAAAATATACACTTATCCAGTGATTTTTAGCCTTTTTAGGCATTAAAGTGTTAGGTTAAGTGCCTGTGTAAATGTTTGTGGGTTCAGTTCAGATAATCAGTCGCCTAGATAGCCAAAGTAAGTTCCAGATGTTTGCACTATTTTCCGGCCGCCATTTTGGTGGAGCACAGAGCTCCACCAACATGGCGGCTCCATACTGAGCTCTGTAAATTTGCGCAAAACATTTCGACGAATATCTGAAGTTTGGGAAAACGCAGAGACCCAAAACTTGGCGAAATGTCTTCTTTACCTGTCTCCTATAATATTAAAATTTCTTGACTTTATCCACAGAATAGTTTTCGATTTATTTTTTCGTTGCGTGACAGTGAAAGCCATCTATACATTCGTTGTTGTAAACTTATTATAAAAAGGACACGTTTTTGTTCAGCACTCTAAATAAAAAATTTGGAACTCTTTGTATGAGCATTTACCGAGCATTTAGTGACCTTTTGGGGGGGAAACCGAGCATTTTAGTGCAAAAATGGAACATTACGATGGAGCATTTTAGTGGGGAAATAAAAGCATAATGTACAAAGGCCTCTAGAGCAAGCTCTTAGTTGATCGAAAACTAGATTAACACTGACTGGGCCTATGAAATGTTGTTTGGCTTTTGAAAGACGATAAAAGAAACTAACTTTTTATGTTTATTTTGTGTTTGATTATCTCAGGTTGCTTGCAGACAGCTGGGTTTCTTGGGAGTCAAAAGGTACTACACACACGGCAGGGGAACCGGGCCTACTTGGTTGGACAAGGTAGACTGCAAGGGGACTGAGGAGAGTTTGCTGGATTGCAAACATCCGGGAATCGGAGTTGAAAATTGTGGTAAGGCAAACAGGAAAAGAGGGCGACTAGCAGTAGATTAGAGAAACGGAATTAATATAATGCGCGCTATCAAGAGAAGATGATCTTAGGGAAGGGCCGTCACCTATAAACTTTATAACATTTCGTCACAAAAGGAGGAACAGTTAGCCAACCACGATTCCAGTCTTTTTCACCTCTGCTTCGCTTGTCGTCGATTCGGGGAGAATTCTCTCCTCAACGACAAGGGAGGCAGAGGAGAGAGAGCCTGGGATTGAACTTGGGAGTTAGAAAGGTAAAGCTTAACGCTAGCCATGCATGATTTATTTCATAAGTTTTTCAAATTAGTACCTTGTGTTTTTCTTTGACGCGTTACTACGTAACCTTTGATGTATTTTTAAATTCTCTCCTCCTGTTTGCTTGGAAGAATGTAGACATTGCAAGGCTATATTCCACGAGCAATTGTTGTGCTAATAAAGCATTGTAACCTATTTTCTTTTAGCTCATTCTGAGGATATTGGAATAGAATGTCACAGCTTAGCAAAGTTACTATCAAGCAAAGTTTACTGGATGGGAATAGATTTTTCCAGCACACAAAAGACTTCATCTCTTCAATATGTGGACGTGTTCCAGGCCTATGAAGCCATCAAGGGTGGGGAATACCTACCAGACCTTGACCATGTGACAGTAAAAAGCGCTGTATATGGAGTGAGATCTGACAAAATCAATTCTCCACTGACCATAAGTGACAGCAGCATCAGAGACAACCAATACGCAGGAATCCAGATTAAAGGCAAATCAAAGGTACTGACGATTCAGAACACGTCAGTGCGCAACACAACAAGTGGAGATGGGCTGTCCTATGGCCAAATAATTCCTGATCCAGTGGATTTTTGCTCTGTAGATGTGAATGCTACCATATTTCCGATCAATTTGCAGGCCTTTGGCAAAGCAAGAACAAATGTTGAATGTACCAAGGTAAAACGCTTTAATTGCTATTTTTTAATATACTAAAGCAAAGATACCGGGATAAAAAAAAAAATGTCCATTAAACCCTTTTCTTATAACCTTTAGGTTTGAAGCAAGTTTGAGGGAAAATGTAACCAATTCTTCGATTTGAGGCATTTTCAAGCCCTAAAAAGAATTCTAACCTTTTTTCAAACAGATTGTTAGAACTCAGCCAGGAAGACATCTGGTCGTGCATTATCAATTCATAACTGGCGAAACGTTTGAGCTCCATGTGCATGACGGGGCCACGATCAATGGCGCTCGACTCACGCTCGTAAACCAATGGACAGGTGTCAATCAGGCTGTCATGCCATCCTCAAGCTCTGGTCACGAACTCTACATAAAGTTTCGATTCAGTGCGGGATACAAAGATACAAGACTAAAATTCCTGATCACGGATGATCAAGGTAGGAAAAATATTACTGTGTTATAGCTAGAAGCTGAGGAACACTTTGAACCCGAAAAGTTAATGACGCAAAGTAAATTGAATTTAATCATGCGTCCTGTTTTCACATTTTCGAAGTCCTCATTCTTTTCTGCCTATACTCCGCGATTAACTAAAAAACACTTTGTCAGTGTAGGGTATTAAATTGATAAAAAGCAAAGAAAAAAAACTTTGTGCAAAAGCAAAAACAGGTAGTGGACAAGAGTTTACAAACTCGAACACCCTTACATAATCATCACGGCTGCCGTCGACTAGGCATGTGATGTGTTTTTATTATATGGCTAGCTAGCTCCGTGAGCGGGCAAGATGAACCAAATCCTGCGCTGTGATTGGCTACCCGAGCGGGTAAGATAATACTATCTTGCCCGCTCGGGATTACCCGCTGCGTCTCGCAAGAAAAAAGTGTTCCTTCTGCATATAACAAATCCTTTATTGACCAAGCTTGGTCAAGCTATCTTATCAGATAGCTGATAAGAGAGAAAGTCCCCCTTCTACCGCAAAAGAAAGAAGGACACAAAGGTTAAGTTAATTCATTATTACTTCACGATTCTTTCTCTTCCTAGATGTTTCCTCTCTCGTGATAGCCAACAGCACGTTTAATGATAATCATGGGAAAGGCGTATCCTTAAAAGACTTTACAGGAAAGCTGACGATTTCCTCAACTGAGGTCTTTCGGAATAAAGGAGAAGGCATGACTGCTCAACGTATTTCTGGAGAAATAGCAGCTACTAGCGCTCGCTTTATTAACAATAGCGCCAACGGTCTCGCAATCCTTGATAGCAGTTTCATATCATGTAGTATTCACGGACTGTCTACCAAAGGAAATGTACGTAATGGAGTATATTTTCAGCGTGTTGCATTTAGAAGTAACGTTTCGGACTCTGTATTCGATAGTAACGAACTCCAAGGATTTGCGATTACTAATGGAGCCGGTGAAATTCACTTCCGAAATATCAGTGCGGTTTTGAACACATACAGCGGGGTTCGAATTTACGATGGCAAAGTGTCGTCTTACTTCGAATCTTCAAATTTGTCCAACAACAGAGAAGACGGTTGCTGCATATCAAACCAAGTTGGATCTCATCAGTTCTTTAACTGCACGGCAAATTCAAATCTGAGGCACGGACTTAGCTTATTTGACGTGAGAACTACCGATCAGTACGCTCCACCAAGGCACCAGTTTACGCATTTTAGTTTGGAAGAGAACACAATAACTGACAATAGTCAATATGGAGTCAAACTAGGCCCGGAGTGTCAGTATTGGAGTGATTCAGTCGTCAACGTTACTATGGCAATCAGCAAGAACCAGATTGCACGCAACAACAAAGCAGGCATCTTCTTGTCCCCAGACTCCTGCTGGTGGAGCTCTTCCTCGTTGAGACCGAGAAGACTGGAAACTATTGTTACTAACAACTATTTTGAACAGAACAAAGGGAATGCATTTTACGTTTACTGCACTGGTTTTCTTGGCTTGGATGCTGTTATCGAGTCAAACACCTTCATGAACAACACGGATAAAGTACTGACTTTGTTGGACAATAACAACTGTGGCGCAAACTACAAAAGTAACCTTGTTAACGTGAAAATAGACAAAAACATCTTCATGAAGAACCGCGCTGAGAACGTTTTATATATCGACTACAGTTCGTTTCCCGAAACGCGTCATGCCATCGTGAGAAACAATACTTTTGAAGACAACGAGGTCGCCCCAAAAGACCTTTTTCCAACATTTTTTCGAAGGTCTACAACTCGGGCAGTTATTGTTCTTAAAGAAGGTACTTTCAATTTGCGTGAAAACATCTTAGAAAATGCCGGCTTTGCTTTCCAGCTCTCTACTCTACGTCATGCTCACCGACGAGTTATTGATGCTGAATTCAACTGGTGGGGAACGGCAAAGGAATGCGAAATCGTGGACAGAATCTTTGACTTCCAACACAGAGTACAACTGTCTCCAGTGGATTTCTTCCCTTACCTTCTATCTTCGATAAAGACGAGAGCCATTAATTCAAGCATAGCAAGATCATTCTGCTTTTTCAAAGGTGCAAGTATCGGTGGAATTCTAGATAGACCACTGGCCTTATCAAGCGCTGTCTCATCTTACCAAGTTCGGGATGACATCATCATCCTTACTAATGGATCGTTGTCCATTCCAAAAAATGTGACGCTACAGTTTCCTTCCAGGTCAGCAATAGTTGTACATGGAAGGCTTCTTGCCGATGGAACAGAAAACGAAAAAGTGAGGCTTATCAAGAAACTTCACCAAGGAAGATTCCGTTTGGGTGGGGGGCCTGGGCCGTGGGAGGGTAGAGTGGAATTTTTAGTCAGTGATACCTGGTGGCCGATGTGTTTGCCATACTGGACATCGTTCACCAACGAAGGTAAAATCATTTGCCAACAACTCGATCTCTACTATCATACCTACAGGGTACATTTCCCTCCTGCAGAGGGACCTGGATTCGTCCACAATGTTCGTTGTGACCCGAACGTCGATGGGGATATAATGAACTGCAGTGCAAATACCTGGAGTTATGGACCAAAGTGTTCGGGATATACGACATTCGTCTACTGCCAGCATTACAACTGGGCGGGACTTCATCTGGCGATGACAAACCATAAAAGTTCATTGAAACACCTGGAAATCCACGATGCTGGCTACGCCTATCGCAGTGATATCCAGATTCCTGGCGCAGCTCTCAAGGTCGATCTGTTTCACCACAATATAAGCAATATTTTCATAAACAATTCAGTGGGTATTGGCATGCAAGTGGTATATCAAAGCGTGTTCCACAACCAGTCGTTGATGCCGCATTCTGCTGTATCAAACACTAAATCTCACGGTGTCCTCTCACGGTCTCCTTCGCTTGCACTTACAGACGTAAACTTGACGAGAAACGACGTCAATGGTTTCATTTATGAAAGTACCTGGGATAAAATAAACACGTTCACTGCTGAAATGGCCAGCCTTGATGTGTACAAGACTTTCCACGTTTGCTCAGGGAAAAGAACGTTTCTGGCTGGGGACAAAGTATTCCACTTCACCTTGGAGAAATTGGAATATAGCTCGGACCTGAGGTGTCAACACCTCATGGAAACAGAGCCAGGTTATAAACTTGTTATTCAGGATCTGTATTACATATCTTCGTACAGCTACAGCCATTTCGCGCATGTGTATGACGGTGCAAGTACATCAGTTGGTTCGCCATGGAAGATGGAATCTTTACAATGGAAGGATCGTCCTGCCTTCATCTCGACCAAATCATCAATTGTGTTTGATCTCTACAAGCGCAACAGCATAAATCTTGCGATCAACTTTTTGGTATATACAGTAAGAGGTTAGTAATAATTCGTTGATTTCCTGAATTTTGTTTAACTGTCACTGACCACATGTTAATACAATTATTAATCCTGAGCTGTGTCTCAAAACAGTTGTTGGCACCGTCTTGGCTGAATTCCCCCCAATCATCCCACATAAATGTATTTCTGTATCTGGGATCAACGTCTGCCCCGTGGCCGCCCTTACCAGGTTTTTTTTTTCAATGCTGAGGCAAGTTGATAGGAACGCTTCTTAACGTCGCTACGTTCTCAAATTAATATTTCCCTGCATTTTGCTAGACGAACAGGACAATGCTTTAAAATGAAAGGCGATCCTGGCATACTTACATAAACGATTGGAAAAGTTAAGGTTACGTACTCAAGTCCTAACTGATGTACTAAGGATTTATTTCCATTTTTCTTTTCTATAGAGAGTGAGCAACTTAATTACTTCGGTGGAGAAATCAGTATATCTCAATCGAAGATTACCAACAGCCAAAAAGGAAGTATCCTGATTGGAGGAAACGAGTTGAAATCTCTCAGTATTACTGAAACGGACATTACCAACTCCAAGGAATTCGGAATAAAACTTATGCCTCGTGGCATCGAGGAAGTTAAACTCACCTCATTAGCTCTTGAACAAAACAAGCAAGGAATTGTAGTAAATCCCATGTACTCAGGTTCGAAAGAATTTACGATTGAGAACTGTGCAATCAATGGATCACAGCATCAAGGCATGTATATCTACTCGGACGTCAAGAGCACAATCCGCATTTTAAACTCAACTGTCACGAACGGTGAGGGCCGGGGTCTCCATATCGAAGGACATTATCGACAAATGGATTTGAGCTTGTTCGTCAGTGGCAGTACATTCGCTTGGAACGAGAAGGGAGCCATAAGCTGCAGCAACAATTATAGAAACGTACCTGTCACCATGCGATTCGAGTCGAACAACTTCTTTCGCAACCAGGGACCCACTGTTGAAATCCTCTCTGGAACTGAAAGAGTAAGGTGGGTGTTCCTCAATAACACTTTCAGTGAAAACCGAGGCTTTTCTGTCATCACCACGGGAACTTACTATTTCTATGGTTCGCAGTACAGACCAAACGTGATTGTCAGTGGCAATAGGTTCTTGACCAATCAGTGTCCAGATAAGGCAGTGATTGACATTCGCAGGGAAGCAAGTAGTTNGCAGGCATCTTCTTGTCCCCAGACTCCTGCTGGTGGAGCTCTTCCTCGTTGAGACCGAGAAGACTGGAAACTATTGTTACTAACAACTATTTTGAACAGAACAAAGGGAATGCATTTTACGTTTACTGCACTGGTTTTCTTGGCTTGGATGCTGTTATCGAGTCAAACACCTTCATGAACAACACGGATAAAGTACTGACTTTGTTGGACAATAACAACTGTGGCGCAAACTACAAAAGTAACCTTGTTAACGTGAAAATAGACAAAAACATCTTCATGAAGAACCGCGCTGAGAACGTTTTATATATCGACTACAGTTCGTTTCCCGAAACGCGTCATGCCATCGTGAGAAACAATACTTTTGAAGACAACGAGGTCGCCCCAAAAGACCTTTTTCCAACATTTTTTCGAAGGTCTACAACTCGGGCAGTTATTGTTCTTAAAGAAGGTACTTTCAATTTGCGTGAAAACATCTTAGAAAATGCCGGCTTTGCTTTCCAGCTCTCTACTCTACGTCATGCTCACCGACGAGTTATTGATGCTGAATTCAACTGGTGGGGAACGGCAAAGGAATGCGAAATCGTGGACAGAATCTTTGACTTCCAACACAGAGTACAACTGTCTCCAGTGGATTTCTTCCCTTACCTTCTATCTTCGATAAAGACGAGAGCCATTAATTCAAGCATAGCAAGATCATTCTGCTTTTTCAAAGGTGCAAGTATCGGTGGAATTCTAGATAGACCACTGGCCTTATCAAGCGCTGTCTCATCTTACCAAGTTCGGGATGACATCATCATCCTTACTAATGGATCGTTGTCCATTCCAAAAAATGTGACGCTACAGTTTCCTTCCAGGTCAGCAATAGTTGTACATGGAAGGCTTCTTGCCGATGGAACAGAAAACGAAAAAGTGAGGCTTATCAAGAAACTTCACCAAGGAAGATTCCGTTTGGGTGGGGGGCCTGGGCCGTGGGAGGGTAGAGTGGAATTTTTAGTCAGTGATACCTGGTGGCCGATGTGTTTGCCATACTGGACATCGTTCACCAACGAAGGTAAAATCATTTGCCAACAACTCGATCTCTACTATCATACCTACAGGGTACATTTCCCTCCTGCAGAGGGACCTGGATTCGTCCACAATGTTCGTTGTGACCCGAACGTCGATGGGGATATAATGAACTGCAGTGCAAATACCTGGAGTTATGGACCAAAGTGTTCGGGATATACGACATTCGTCTACTGCCAGCATTACAACTGGGCGGGACTTCATCTGGCGATGACAAACCATAAAAGTTCATTGAAACACCTGGAAATCCACGATGCTGGCTACGCCTATCGCAGTGATATCCAGATTCCTGGCGCAGCTCTCAAGGTCGATCTGTTTCACCACAATATAAGCAATATTTTCATAAACAATTCAGTGGGTATTGGCATGCAAGTGGTATATCAAAGCGTGTTCCACAACCAGTCGTTGATGCCGCATTCTGCTGTATCAAACACTAAATCTCACGGTGTCCTGTCACGGTCTCCTTCGCTTGCACTTACGGACGTAAACTTGACGAGAAACGACGTCAATGGTTTCATTTATGAAAGTACCTGGGATGAAATAAACACGTTCACTGCTGAAATGGCCAGCCTTGATGTGTACAAGACTTTCCACGTTTGCTCAGGGAACAAAACGTTTCTGGCTGGAGACAAAGTATTCCATTTCACCTTGGAGAAATTGGAATATAGCTCGGAACTGAGGTGTCAGCACCTCATGGAAACAGAGCCAGGTTATAAACTCGTTATTCAGGATCTATATTACTTATTTCCGTACAGCTACAGCGGCCATTTCGCGCATGTGTATGACGGTGCAAATACATCAGTTGGTTCACCATGGAAGATGGAATCTTTACAATGGAAGGATCGTCCTACCTTCAACTCGACCAAATCATCAATCGTGTTTGATCTCTACAAGCGCAACAGCAGAAATCTTGCCATCAACTTTTTGGTATATACAGTGAGAGGTTAGTAATAATTCGTTGATTTCTTGAATTTTGTTTAACTGTCACCACATGTTAATGCAATTATTAATCTTGAGCTGTGTCTCAAAACAGTAGTTGGCACCTTCTTGCCTGAATTCCCCCAATCATCCCACATAAATGTATTTCTGTATCTGGGGTCAACGTCTGCCCCGTGGCCGCCCTTACCAGGTTTTTGTTTTCTTTTTCATGCCGAGGCAAGTTATAGGAACGCTTCTTAAAGTCGCTACGTTCTCAAATTAATATTTTCCTACATTTTGCCAGACGAACAGGACAATGCTTTAAAATGAAAGGCAATCTTGGCGTACTTATATAAACGATTGGAAAAGTTAAGGTAACGTACTCAAGTCCTTACTGATGTACTAAGGATTTATTTCCATTGTTCTTTCCTATAGAGAATGAGCAACTTAATTACCTCGGTGGAGAAATCAGCATATCTCGAACGAAGATTACCAACAGCCAAAAAGGAAGTATCCTGATTAGAGGAAACGAGTTGAAATCTCTCAGTATTACTGAGACGGACATTACCAACTCCAAGGAATTCGGGATCAAACTTATGCCGCGTGGCATCGAGGAAGTTAAATTTACCTCATTAACTCTTGAACAGAACAAGCAAGGAATTGTAGTAAATCCCATGTACTCAGGTTCGAAAGAATTTACGATTGAGAACTGTGCAATCAATGGATCACAGCGCCAGGGTATGTTCATCTACTCGGACACCAAGAGCACAATTCGCATTTTAAACTCAACTTTCACGAACGGTGAGGACCGGGGTCTCCATATCGAAGGGCATTATCGACAAATGCATTTGAGCTTGTTCGTCATTGGCAGTACATTCGCTTGGAACAAGAAGGGGGCTGTTAGCTGCAGCAACAATTATGGAATCGTACCTGTCACCATGCAGTTTGAGTTGAACAATTTCTTTCGCAACCAGGGACCCACTGTTGAAATCCTGTCTGGAACTGAAAGAGTAAGGTGGGTGTTCCTCAATAACACTTTCAGTGAAAACCGAGGCTTTTCTGTCATCACCATGGGAAGTTACTATTTCTATGGTTCGCAGTACAGACCAAACGTGATTGTCAGTGGCAATAGGTTCTTGACCAATCAGTGTCCAGATAAGGCAGTGATTGACATTCGCAGGGAAGCAAGTAGTTTTATTATAGAAAACAACGATTTCGAGTTCAATTCAGGGCGCTGTGTGCTTCTTGAAGGTACAGCTTCATATGTTCCTATTTCCATAGCAGATAACGTGTTTAACGAGAATGATTGCGGGGATAGGAGTGTGGTAGAAGCCCTGCGCTTGGACCAACAAGCTAAGTTTGCAAACAACACTTTCACCCAAAACAGGGCTAGTAGTGTTTTCCTGCTTCAAGTCGTACATAACCACCAACCAACTGCTCAGAAGGAAGAGTTGACCTTCAAAAACAACACTCTATCCGAAAACATTCCTCATAACTCAGCACAGTTGTCAGCTGCAGGGGATTCATGCGCTGTGATCATTTCCGGCATGTTGTATCACAAAGAAACAGAATTCCGCTTTAACAAATTTAATAACTCCAAATACCTGAGGGAGCTTTGTGTCTTGATTCCTGCCATTTCTCCGCGTGACATTGTGAGCGTGACACATAACTGGTGGGGAACTGCAGTCGGAAGTCAAGTGCGTGACAGGATAAGAGACTTTGATGACAATTACGATTTCGCTATCGCCGATGATTGGCCTTTCCTTCTAAGTAATGACGACCCAACTTCAACTGTGGTTGAACAGCACGATTTTAATCAGCATGGAAGCCTCCTTTCAGGAAGACTGTTCGAGTCCATAACACTGAAACGTTCTCAGAGCCCGTATAGCGTGGCATCAGATTTGACTGTTCTATTTAACGTCACACTAACCGTAGAGGCAGGTGTCACGGTTAAAGTAAGCCCTGGAATGAGCATACTTGTTGCTGGGGCGCTAAAAGCTCACGGAACACTTGAAATGCCAATTATCTTCACAGTAAACGGACCTGCAAACAGTAATAACGATTCACATTTACCTGTGAGACTTGCGGATGGAGAGTTTCCATGGGAGGGGAGGGCAGAAGTGCTTCACGAGGGTTCTTGGAAACCAGTGTCTCCTTCTGGCAGTACCCCTTTGAGGAACATCACAGAAGTTGCATGCAGACAGCTTGGATATGGTCCACCAAATGTTACCAAGGAGAACTCAGATGTCTTCAGACGAAATTTAAACGACACTTGGCTAATGGAATTACATTGCTATGGCAACGAGACATTTCTACACGAATGCCTCTATAAGCAGCGAGCGTTCAACTATAGCAGTGCCTTTGCGGTTGTGAAATGTCAAGGTGCACCCTGGGGAAATGTTCGTTTTATATCCCCCAGAGATGCGAACGGGTCCCATGCGCAGTCCATATTGGATCACGTGGAGTTTTCACACTGTGGTTATCGCCATGGAATGGCTGTCCCAGCAGTAGAAGCGGTAATCAATGTGCCAAAATTGGAATCCGTCACGATTAGAAATTGTACATCCGGGGGCTTACGAATTCACTTCCCAGGAACTGATGTACATCTAAATAACAGCAAGTTTGTTAACAGTGCAGAATCCGGAATAACCTTTTTACAAACACACCGCAACATTCTGGTGGAGAGTTCGGAATCATCAGGAAACCAAAGAGGTATTTCCTTTGAGGAAGGAAATGCAGAAAACCTCCCTCGAGTCCATTATGGACGAGCATTTCTATGCAATGCGGAAAAGGTTGTCAATGTTACGAATCAAGCACTTCTTTATTTCGACATCCCGAGGCTGCAGAACACAATGGCGACGGACAATTGTGAGAAAGTTTTAACCGTACCCAAGGGTCAAGGAATCAAGTTGACCCTGTTATACTTCAAGGGTTCTCAGAGGTTGATGGTCTATGACTCCACCCACACTGTCAATTTGATCGTGGACAGGTCAAACAATGACATAACAGCTCTTGTTCATAAAGAGTTATTTATCCCACATGATATAATTTTGCTGAAGTGGAATGGTGACGTGGACTCTAAAGTGGTTATTCAAGTGGAGGACATAAATATTAGTGGTGAGTACATCTCTTTATGATATTTCCCAAGATGTCAAATAATGATGCAGATGTCTACGCTTGCAACGTAAGAACCAATTTCAAGGTTTTAAACGAACACGGAAACGGAGTTAAAACTAATAGATATCTTAGATAATACATAGCTTTGGTTCTAAAGAATAAGAAAATAGAAGAACTTCTGATCTGAATTTGGTGCTTACACACGCTAAACCAAACTGGGTTTAATCAGAGTAAATGGTGCGTCTGCCTCGGCCAGATCCTTGCCAACATCTGCGGTGTGCTAAGGTTATACACGGTCTCGGTGAAGGCTGTCAAGAGTACCACGAACATCACCGAAAAACTTGGTTTATGAACGTTACTTAATAATATGAAATTTTATTTCAAACTCGTTAGATAAGTTTAACTATAAGCACCAACATATCCTTAATTATAAGGATGTCATTGGTTGTAATGAAAGTACAAATATACAAGGAGAAGCAAAGGAAAGATGTATTTCCGGTATTTTGTGGACCTTGCAGATAACGTTTCTGTTGTTCCTTTGCAGATGCGCCTTGTACCTTCGAGCTGGACTTTTGTGGCTGGGAGACATTTGACAACATGACCATCAATGGCCTCCAAGTCACGAGAACATGGAGAATAGCTCGGCATACATGGCCAGATGCCGCAAATGACTATTCTTACTTTTATTCAAACGGTACGTTTTTTTTTACAATGTGATGCCAGCTAAATATATGAGTTTCAACTGATATATACCTATTTGAAAAGCATCTAGTAGCGGAGATCTTGTGTGTTCTTTGCACCATGCGTCGGATTTCCTATTTAGCTCTATTTCGTGGGAGAGACTTTTGGGAATGGCGGGTGAAGGATAAAGGTTTTCAGTCCTCTTAGCAGTTTATTTGCGTAGTGAGACATCGAAGATATTGTGGATAATTTCTCCACGTCGGCATACGCTGACATTTATGTGTCACAAAATTCAGTAACTAATCTGGTGACAGGTATTTTCCTTGGCTGCTTTTGACAACTCTTTCTAGGCCATGGGCTCCTCCACTGAGAAAGAAGTGAAATTTGAAACTCTTTTCCCCATTTCAGGAAAACGTCTTTTGATCGGTAATGACCAGTGGCCAACAGTTGACGGGCGTGCAGCGATCATCAGCCCTCCAATCACCAAACTGTCCAAGTTATGCTCTCTTGTGTTCTTCTACCGCGTGGTAAAACAAGGAAGAGCTGGACTGTCACTCTACATACAAACAGGTAAGTCAAGTATATGACTGGTTTTCTGTTCCGCCGTCTAGTAATATAAGGTTTTAAATGGTAGCTAGGGAAGTACAATTTCTTGCATACACCTTTACACCAGTGCTATTTAGCGATTGAGGTAGACTACTATTAAAAGAACTTTTTCACTGAAAAGAGCAGATTTTAATCGTCAGAATGGGACTACGATATTGAATAATCTCTGGTATAGCAAGGACATTCAAAGTTTTTGCTTCACGCCTGTCTTTATAACCTTATTTGATTATCTATGAAAATTACTTCTCATCATTCCACAGGAACGTATCCCAACATTGAACAGAAGTTAATCTGGGAAGGAAAAAATATCGAGGTATCAAGTTGGAGAAAAGTGATTGTTGAACTTCCTAATGACGTCGATGAGTATAGACTGCTGTTCGAAGGCGAATATAACAAGACTACAAACTATTGGACGAGAAACTTTGTGACTATTGACAATTTAGAACTACGAAGCTGTTATCAAAAAGGTAAAACTATTACCAGCAATTCCTTATCATTTGCAGGACAAACTTACCACACTCTTTTTGTTCAGGGTCATTCGTTACCCAAACCTACCTCAGAACCTGAACGAATCGACCACACCCTCTATATTACTTGCGTAGCGAGTCGGTGTACGTTGAAGTGCTCAAATGTGACGTTGGTTCATACACTTTCTCCCGACGTGAGGTCCAGTAGACAGTTATCTTCAACCATTTTCCTGTGTCCAATCAAGTCAAATGCTGGAAGAGTCAAATTAAGGTTGAATACCATACCTAGTTCCAAGATACAAGACAGGATTTTTTTTTTTTTTGCGTTTATTATAGTTACCAACACTGGTCTCTTTCGTTACCATTCCCTTACTAATTTTTTTTGCTTGTTTGTCGTTAAGAGGTTACATGCTATCCTTGAGACAAATTTCGTGTTTTGGAATCTAACCATTTTTTTTCTGCAGAACACCGCATTTTCAACAGTGTACTCAGTAACAACATCCACCAAGCAATAAGCTACATGTCTGTGTCCGATGGAAGCGATAAGCGACCTTGCTTTACCACCGAACGTTGTAAAATCACTGACACACCTGCATCTCCATTAAACGTGCCTCAAAAGAGCGCTATTTTCTTGGAAATCCAAGACAATAATTTTACGCTCACCAACAACTTCATCTCTGACAACCGTTTGGGTGGAATTCAAGCGCAATTGGGACGAAGCAACGGAACAAGCTTACCAAGAAGCTTAATATACGGCAATACGTTCATCAGTAATGCAAACGGTACGGTACTCATAGAAGAAAGGAAAGAAGTGAAACCCAATAACAGCTTTGTTTACATTGTGGACAACGCGTTTGGAAGTAACAAAGGTCATGGTAGCACCATTAAGCTTTCTGAAACGCAGAGTGAAATCGTCAACAACGTTTTCTACAACAACTCAGGATTACACTCCATTGAGTACGACTTTTCCAGTGTTTGGTCCAAAGAACAGAAGTGCGAGTTAAACACCTTCTATCTTAACAAAGGTCTTGGCGAAAACTACGGTATAACTATCGTGTCTAACGGACCAATGAAATATCACAGCAACAGCGTGAAGAATCCCTCCAACCTTTACGAGTTTAGTTCAACGACACAAGCGGCTTTTGACCCGATTGATGCTGCACGGAATTGGTGGGGCGTTGGGATAGAGCCTTCGGTTGGTTCACGAATTTATGAGAAAGAGGACGACTACAGACTGGCCGCAGTGGAATATAAACCTTTCAAAAAGCTTCCGCCGAGAAACATCTTATCCAGTGAGTACAATGGAAAACAAAATATAAAAAAAAAAATTAAACTAAGGAAACCCATGCCATTTAAACTAAGGAAACCCTCATAACCAGATTAGTGTTCGAATTACTACTACTACTATTATTATTATTATTA